TTTACAAAATATATACTAATAATAATAATAATAATAATAATATTATTATTATTATTATTATTATTATTATTATTATTATTATTACATAAGCTTTTTAAATAATATTATTCTATAGCAATTACAATATTGCAAAAAAAAAAAAAAAAAAGATTTGATGTATAAATTATGAAACAAAATATTCATATAAATAACAAAAATTTTTAAAGAACATTTAATAATATTCAAAAAAACAATAACATAAGTTTTTTTTCAATAATATTTAAAAGAAGAATAATATTTAATAATATTTATAAGTTATATATATATATATATATATATATATATATAATACAAATACATATAAATAATTTCTAGAAAATAAAAGTTTAGAAAAATAACTTTTGAACCTTGAAGAAGGATTTGAATCTAAATCAAATGCAAATAGAGGATGTGATGAGAAGTGTATGATAGAGATAAAGATAGCGTAAATAAAAAAAAATTAGGTTAAAAGAGGGTAAAAATAAAAATAAAATATATATGCTATTCCTGAGAATTCATGAATAACTTAATACCAAAGAAGGGGCGGGTGTAGTAATAGCTATTTCCTTGGTTGGGGAATAGCTCATTTCTAGAAATATTATTTTCTGAGAATAAAAGTTCTTACCAAACAAACGAATATACCTATTACGGGAATGTTATTCCATTCCATGCCATTTTCGAGAACCAAACGGGCCATCCATAAAATTTAGAATTCATTTATTATAAACAAAAAAAAAAAAGTGATTATTTTCCCTTCTTAAGTTTATCTTTTGATATGATAATAAAACTCAGTATATTTATTGAGTACTCATGAATTGGCCAACCTATTATAAAAAGGAAAATTATGCTATGGACCCGTGTCCACTATGTGCGTGGACACGCTGTACATTCATAATTTCTATACTGTAGATTCATAATTTCTATATTGTAGATTCATAATTTATAAACTGTAGATTCATAAAATTTATAATGTAGATTCATAATTTCTATACTGCACATTTATAATTTTTGTACTGTAGATTCATAATTTCTGTAATGTAGATTCAGAATTTCTAAACTGTATAGTTATCAAATTATGAACACATAGTTATCAAATTATGAATCTACAGTATAGAAATTATGAATCTACAGTACAGAAATTATGAATCTACAGTACAGAAATTATGAATGTGGAGTATAGAAATTATGAATCTACATTATAAATTTTATGAATCTACAATATAAAAATTATTAATCTACAGTATAAAAATTATGAACCTACAATATAAAAATTATGAATGTACAATATGTCTACCATGTACACCGTGACATGGGTCCAGGGCATAACGCCTCCGTGGACACGGGTCCAGTGCATAAAAACTCATAACTTTGATAGGTGGGCCTATTGGTTCATTTGATTAAGCCCAATAAGGTGAAAGTTGAAAAAGGAATTAATTAATTAGATAATTAAAGAGATGGGGTTAGGTCGAGCCTTAGTGAAAGCGTTATTGACTCTGTGTGCTTCATTAGGTTGAGAAAATATATTTGAACAGATAGTACAATGTAATAGACTCAATAGCATTCAAAAAAGAGATGGGGTTGGGAAGAGGTTGGGCGTGTTGGTATTTGTTGGATTAGTTTTGCAAAATATTGTACAAAAATTTTAAATAAAAGATTATGGGATTTTAAAATTTATTTATTAAAAAATTATTATCTTGACCCTTTCTTCTTCTCCCTTGAGAAATGGTCGCCGATTTAAAAAAAAAAAAAAAAAAAAAAAAAAAAAAAATCTATGAATCTATGATCCTTTCAGCGTAGAAAGGGTCACAACCCATTTATTTTTTTAAAATAATGATATAAAATCCGCGACCCTTTTTCTATTTTTTTTAAAATAATGATATAAAATCCGCGACCCTTTTATGGGAAAAAGATTGTAAATTTTTGACTTTTCGTGGCTCAACACAAAGGGTCGTGGACTCATGGGAAACTCAAAGCTTTTAGTGACGTCCTCATATGCGACCCTTGTAGAAGGGTTGCAGATTTTTTTGTATAAAGGTCACCGATTAATATTTTTGTACTAGTAAATCTTAAGTCCAGATAAGCAAGTTATATTGATATATAAGAAAATGGAAATCGAGTAGATAGATGGCGGTGACTAAAATAAAAATTAAAAAAAAAAAGTTACTAATTGAATATGGCTATAATGATGAGTATATACCTAACCCGAGTAATGTTCTCCTCCAGAATGCATTCTCCCGTGTAACTAATGATAAAAAGAATAAAAAGAATAAAAGAGACAATTTTTCTCCAAGCCAAGAAGGTGCAACATCTTCATAATGATGTTTTGTATTTTGTTAAATGGTGGATATGATTGTGATTTTTATATATAGTGAATTTCTTAGTCCTAAATGCTATATATATATATTTTCTCAATGATTTCTATGCCATATGATACAATATAATACTAAGATTGGTACACACTACCAATTATTTCTGCCTCGAAAGATATATTCATCACATATAATATTCCCACATGCTTTTATTTATGTCTAGCAAGTAGCAAAAGAAGCAAGTGACCACTTAGAAAACATGTGCCAAAATCCAATACTGCTAACGTTGCGAGCAGATGATTGATGTTATGTTGTCATCATTATTCCCAAAAGGTTGAATTCTCAACTCCAAGAGGCCCCCACACCTCAACCCCGACAGAACAATTGGAATGATGTAAATCATGGTAACTCAGTTGAATCACAGAGACTAAATCTTTGCTTACTGCACACAAGGAACTCCCTCACTTTAACAGGACATTTGGTTGGAGGGGGGGAATTATGTGAGAAAGGAATTGTAATTCCATGGGAGTTGAATTACTGGGAATAAAGTGAGAATTTAAATTTCCGTGTTTGGTTGACAGGAATAGAATTACTGGAAATTTCAATTCCAATGTTTGGTATACATGGGAATTGAAAGGGAATAAGTAGTATAAAGTCATAAATGTCTATTATTGTTGTTAGACATTAATTTTAGGTTAAAAATGAAGGGGTAATTTTGACTCATCACTATCTTTTTTTTCCCAGAAATTAAAATCCCAGGGGGACATGGGATTTTAATTCCATGAAAATGAGAGAATTGCAATTCCAACCAAACTACGGAATTTAATGGCCTTTGAAATTATGTGGGAATTAAGTGGAAAGGGAATTTAAAATCCCTCCAATCAAACGCCCTGTAAGAAGTTGCTCTCACACTGCAGACGGTGATTATGCTGCCATCATTCACTATATATACTTTTGGATGCCACAAAAATAAATAGCAGAAGTGATGATGGTGCAACAATATGTGAGCCCTCCACTACCCTATTGGTCTATATATGTGGTCTCTATCGAAATCATATCATTCCACAACTATCAAACTAAATTTGTTTTCTCTTAGATTCTTTCTCCACTAAAAATTAATTGGTAAATTATTGCAAATTTATATGTATTTAATTTATCAATCGATTTTTCGTGGTGAGTGATAGGCAATAAAGAAAAACAAAAACAAAAACAAAAACAAAAACAAAAAGATTATTAGCTACTAATCCTACCATGGACTTGTTTGGTAAATGACAATTGGACCAAAACTTATTTGTTTTGAGTATTTCAGCGTTTTAACTAAGATTAAAAAAAAAAAAAAAAGTTTTGCAAATTGTCTATTTGATTAGCTTTTGCACCCCAACAAGCTAAAAATTGAAATGCTTTTCAGTTCAGCGTTTCCATGAAATCAATTTTGCTGACCAAATTGGCCTTGAAAAATGAAATCAAAAGAAAATATACATTCTTATCAATGGTAAATAAAGCTTAATTTTGTAGAAAATGTCTTCCTAATTTGTTAGTGAAAAGACATTTTTCAAATTCTTTATTTTCCCACATCTCTTTTCACTAGCTCTCTTCTTCTTTTTATTCTAAGTTAATTTTTGGATTATTATTATTTTTAATTTTTACCACCAGCAACGCCAACACCACAACACAACCATATCACCACCACCACCACTATACCAAAACCAACACTAACAACGTAACTACCATCACTACCACGTACCACCACCACCATGAACAACACCACCACCGCCACCACCGTACCAAAACCAAAACTAACAACGTAACTACTATCACTACCACGTACCACCGCCAACACGACCGCCACCGCCACCAACACCAACACCAACAACTACCACTACCACTACTACTACCACCACCACCACCACCGACGCTGTCACCACCACCACTAACACCAACAACTACCACCAACACCACATTTTATTATTGTTGTTGTTATTATTGTTATAACAAATAATATGTTCATTTTTAAGAAAATAAATCAAACAAAAAAATATATAATTTTTAAAATTTTAGTCAAACAGAAAAAGATAATGGTCAAACATTCAATCAGACACCAAAATATTAAAATATTTTTCCATTGAAGTCCACCAACGGTTTATGGACCTGTCATAATAGACTCATAGCCGGTCACTACTGTTCAGATAAAAATTCGACTAACTTCCGACGACTCTCCCACAGTCAGGTAGGAGAAGGCGACCAAATGATGAATTGAAGAAACCAATTATATATGATCGCTTTCTCCGGATAATGACAACCATTTTTCTGGTCTCCTTCTCCAAAGAATGGCGACCGTTTCTAATCGCCTTCTCCGGAGAATGCCGACCATTATATGCGCATGAAGAGTAGGTCGATCTTATAGTGTGCAGAAACTTATTTTTACGGGATTAATCAAATAGTATATATATTAACGAGTGAACACTAATAAATCTCAAGTTATATACTCAATTAATCAGTGATAGTTCAAATTTATCAAACTCTATGATTCAACCTCGTACAGTACTTAGAAACAGAGATTATAACAATACAACACACTATTTCAACCCAAAAAAAAAAGTACAGAGCCACCTGAAAGTAATCTTAAATCAAGTCAAAAGTAAAAAGTGGTGGAAATAACAACAAATATTAATACCATAAGTGGTCAGAACAAGGCTTTCGACTTGATTTAAAATCACTTTTAGGTGGTCGGAAATTCCATAACTTCCAGTAGTGTCTTAATATGAAACATACTAAGTTAAACTCTTTAAAGTTATGGAGAGTTTAGTGCATGTTTTCCGGCGACCATCACAAGCGTTGATGATCATCTGTTCCCAAGGATCGTCTGATTTCGGCGGCGGAGGCGACGGTTTACCCGGCCTTTCATACTTATTCTTGATGTTGTTATTATTACTGCATGTTTTCCGGCCACCATCGCAAGAATTGATGATCTTCTGTTCCCAAGGGTCCTCTGGTTTCGGTGCCGGAGGTGATCGTCCGGCCGGCGGCCTTCCCAACTGGTTATCACTGCATGTCTCCCCACTGTCGCAGTTACTAGTGATTTTTTTCTGCCCCCAAGGATCACTGGTGACCATTAAGAGCAGATTGTCGTCGTCTTGGAGTTTTCCGGCGGCCGGAGTCGTGGATACCTCTCTCGTTGGTGAAGTCCTCCCATATGTATCTGCATCACGAGGAAAATAATTATCGTTTCATTTTGCATTAATGGTGAGATAAAAGCGATATGATTTGGCATGCAGAATATACATTCAATAGAGAATATGAAATGATTACACAATTTTGTCATGAAAAATGCTACATGTACTCTCATTTTGTACCCTCACCCACAAAATTTTGATGTAGACACTTGTATTTGACCCACATAAAAAAATAATTCAGAATCCACCACAAGGGAGTAAAATTTAAAGAGTAAGATTGGGTAGGGACTACATATAGTAGAACTCTTTTGTCATTGTTATATGCCAAAAAAAAAAAAAACATAATTTGTCACATACAGTAGTAGCAAGACTTAATTTACTTCTCAGGTATGATTTGCATGTTATTACACGGTAGTAGGTTTAATTTACTTATCATGTGTGATTTACATGTTATTGCACGGTAGAAGGTTTACTCAATACACACTCACAAGTAGTGGTTGTCAATTTCCCTCATCATTCAAAAAAAAAAAAAAAAAAAAACATAGTCTATTATCTATATAGGAGCATGTATATATGAATTGAAGCTTATTAATTAGCTAGGACAGCTAATTTTAAGGAAAATTATTTTACTATGTATAAGAATCCTATTTCAATTTCACCTAGCTTAGCTTATATCTCAAGTAAAGTCCAACATACAATTTTACAAAATATATAATCTGTATAAGGTATAGTAAAAATTATGTTTTATGCTCTTAATTAAACTAAAATCTAATCAACATCATACTCATATAAAAACCAGAGAAGTTAATTAATTGCAACATTATTTTTCACAAAGCAAGATGTTTAGTACAAGTAAGCACCCCTACAAAAATATGATATACAATTTTCTTAATGATATAGTGTAAAAATTAAACACAACTTACCAAGATACTATAAGAGGCATGTTGGTATTTACTATGAGTATTATTTGTTTTCAAACAATTTTTTTTTTAAAAAAAAAAAAAAAAAAAAGAGAAGTAGGTAGCTAGAAATACTAAAATCAGAGAGTTATTACCATACCTAGCAAATGTCTTGCTTCAGCTCCAAAAGAAGCAATTAGGAGGAAGAGAAAGGCACATATTACTTTGAGAATACTCATTGTGATGCTCATATTTTCTGTTACCAAGGGGTGAAGAGAGGCTCTTTATATAGTTTGGAAAATGTAGAGAAAAAGAAAGTGGGAGGTGCATCATAACCCAAACTTTGTTATTAAATTCATATGCTCTTAAAAAAAAATGATATGCTCTTTGGTTTTAAAAAAAAAAAATTAGGTACAAACATTTGGGAGGTCATGAGATTGGGGCTCAGTGGAGGCATTGTTGACTCTTTGTGCTTCGTTAGGTTGAGAAAGTATATTTGAACAGATACTACAATGTAATAAACTAATAGAGTCAGTAGCATTAAAAAAAAAAAAAGAATCATAATTAAAATTAAATATTTGAGAATTTTAATGGGTTTAAGTGAAAGAAGTCACTTTGTTTAAATTTAGTGTCAATTGAATTATTTTTTATTTTTATAATATCACAAAAATGTGTGTGTGTGTGTGTGTGTGATTGTTGTTGAATTTATACAACACAAAGATGCAAGATAGAAAATATGTACAAATTTATAAATTCATGTAATCAATTAATCATGAACTAATTTCTACGAGTATTATATATCAATTTTTATTTTAATTACAAATATTTATATTAATAATTAAAAATCAAACCAACATAATTATTAAATTAATAATTATATATATAAATGAATAAAGCTCATATCACATTTTTATATATAAAATTTAATAACACTATTTAATATTTTATCCTTTTAGTATGTGTGTCAACAAATGTCATACTTTTATATATATATATATATATATATATATATATATATATATATATATAAAGGGTTCAGGTATGAGGAAGGGTTCCCGTGCGATTGTGCAGTTGAAACACACCTTAAGCATTAAAATGACGCACCTTAGGTAATGTACGTGTGTGTGTGTGTGTGTGTGTGTGTGTGTGTGTGTGTGTGTGTGTGTGTGTGTGTGTGTGTGTGTATACTAACTTTCTAATAATTTGTAATTTTGATTGGTTTTTTAATAATTTACAAAGAAAGTTAGGTAAAATAAAATCAAGTAAGGAAAAAAATTTCCTGCCTAAGTGTGAATGCATATTAATAGATTTGTAAGATCATTTTCTTTTGTGTGTGTAAACCACAAGGTGGTCCGGGTCTTTCTTTTAACTTTATAAGATCATTATTGCAAATGAGATTAGCAATATGAATGTATTTTTTTGTCATATTTATTGTCTTAACATTTAAATATTACAATGTATAACTATATTTACATTTTTAATAAAATTAATTCTGTTTTGTATCATAACATTACAACAATACTTATAAATTTTTGTCCGTGCATCGCACGGGGCAAATACTAGTATATATATATATATATATATATATATATATATATATATATATATATATATATATACACGGCCAACCAATTAATTTGATGGCGATATGGGACCCCCGGGGGCTTATTTTATTGGGACAGTCTTAGCCCAACCGTCCAAGCGGAGTGTCCATCCAATCATTATTGCATGGACCATGGTCCACACAATTGTGTGGACTATAAATAAAAAGTACATTTTTAATATACTAAGGGTACATTATTTTATATAATGTACCTTCAGTACAAAAATAATGTACTTTTAATGTGTTAAAAATGTACCTGATATTCATGGTTCACATAATTGTGTGGACCATGGGAGGTCATGAGATCGAGGCTCAGTGGACGCATTATTGACTCTTTGTGCTTCATTAGGTAGAGAAAGTATATTTGAACAGATACTACAATGTAACAGAGTCAGTAGCATTCAAAAAAAAAAAGGATCATAATTAAAATTAAATATTTGAGAATTTTAATGGGTTTAAGTGAGAGAAGGCACTTTGTTTAATTTGGTGATAAATAGAAATTGGAATCAAAATAATTAATTAATTAAAAATATATAATACATACATATGTATGGAATATAACCACTGTAGAGGTAAACCGCATGCCCTAAATATATATATATATATATATATATATATATATATATAACATATACGGCCAACCAATTTGATAGCGATATGGGACCCCTGTGAGCTTATTTTATTGGGACAGTTTTAGCTCAACCGTCAAAGCGGGGTGTCCATCCAATCATTATTGCATGAACCATAAATAAAAAGTACATTTTTAATATACTAAGCGTACATAATTTATGTACGTAAGGTATATTTTTTGAAAGTACATTTTTAATATATTAAGGGTACATTATTTTATATAATGTACCTTCAGTACAAAAATAATGTACTTTTAATGTGTTAAAAATGTACCTGATATTTATGGTTCACATAATTGTGTGGACCATGGTCCACACAATAATTTGTCGTGTCCATCTTTATGGGTGAGATGTTGGCCCAATAAGAATAATGGAATTCTATTGGGCTAAGGAAAGAAGGAAGCTTGTAGCAAAATATTATAAAAAAATTTACTAGGATGAATCAAACTCACAACCTCAAGCATAACAACTTAAGTTCCAAACCACCAAGTTAATCAAGATCTTGTATACTATAGGGCAGGAAGCTCCACTTATGCATGGGAGTGCAATGGAGGCAAAATAGTGAGGGACACGTGTGTGGTCCAGAATGAAGGCTGCTAGATGCCGTCCATTTGTCAACCATCCGTGAATCCCTCAACACTATATATAGGCACCCCTCCCTCCCTTTTAGAGGCACCCCTTAGCTCACCAAATCCCTCTCGGTCCATTGGTCCGAGTCTTCAACCCTTGCTGGCACACTAGGGTTCGAATCCAATTGGTAACATATTTAGTTTTATTTCATTTATTAGTACCCTTAACATGTTGAGTTATTATTTTGGGCATTATTCCCTTCTTTAGGCCGTGATCTTTGTATTTGGACCACCATTTTGGGCCTGTACCTCGGACTTTGTACGCACTATTTTTTGCCTAGCGCCCCAGGTAGTAAAACTATTCTTTGCCTACTCCCGTTCTATATTTCTATATCCGATTTATGGTGGATCGGTCCCCATAAAACCATCACAATTTGTTTTTATATAGATTTTTGTGAATCGGTAGAAACCAAAACTGACAAGTTTTTTTTTTTTTTTTTTTGAAAGCTATTACTTTATTACATTGTAGTATGTGTTCATCTTTTTTCAACCTCTTGAAACACAAAGAGTCAAGAGGCTTCACCTCATGATCGAGTCATTACCTGCCATTTGAGCAGTACTTGGCAGCCAGCAAGTTTTTTAAAGTAAAAATTAGTTGAAGAAATAAAGAATAGTCCGTCCACATTTTCGTTTACTTCTGTGATGGCCAGAAATTTGTAACGGACTATAGAAAGTTAAAAATAAAAATAAAAATTACTCCCTTAAACAGCATGATTGGAAATAAAGTCCGTTACAAAAATTATTTCCGTTTGGAAAGCAGGAACCACGTTCCGCCAGAAACCATTGAATTTTTTTTTTTTTTTTTTAAAAAAAAAAAAAAATGAAAGAGAAGAGGCGGAAAACGACTTCCGCCCAAATTTGGCGGAAGTCGTTTTCCGCCAAATTGGCCTCATTTTCCCCAGTCAACGGAAAATGGATTCCGTTGACTGGATTTTTCAGGTGTAGCCAAACACCAAAAACCCGGAAAATGACTTGCAGAAGTCATTTTCCGGGTTTCCAAACACAGCCTAAGTGTTTGAAGAGAGTCAACCCCACGTGAAAGTACTTATATTGTACAAATAATTGATTATAGCTAAAACCATTAATTTTGAAAAGACCGAATAGTTTCAAGTTCAAAGTTCATTGTTCATGTTTTTTTCGAACGCCAGATTTTTGGTTAAAATATAAGACACTCATTTATTGCTATTGATTAAATTTTTGATAAATATATGTATTAACAACCCTATGACTATTTGCTTGTGAAGGGATGCTTTTATCAAAAAATATTCGTTTCACTCAAAATAACTTAAAAATCTGTTTTATTCAACCAATATTTTTCTTTGATAACGATTGTAAATTTCAATATAGATTTTCTTAAAAGCTAGTGTCAGGGCATTGATCTTGATATAGGACTAATAATGTAGTCTCTTCTCACTTAAATATCTAATATGCAAAAAAAAAAATAAAAAAATCATCTATATATTTCAATAAATACTTGTTGAGTCAAATAGAAGAAAAAAGATATCTTATTCTATAAATTTGTAATGTACCTTACTTCAAAATAATAATAATAATAATAATAATAATAATAATAATAATAATAATAATAATAATAATAATAATGTAACTAAGTTATCATAATCTGCAAGAAAATCTATGAGTACCTTAGTGGAGATGTCCCATGTTTACCATACATACTCAATTTAGAAAAGTTGCAGCACTAAAGACCGGGACCATCTAAAATATTATTTTTATAAAATGACTACAAATAAAATATATTATCATTTGTACAATAATATTGACTCAACTATAACACAAAGTTAATTGTATAACACAATATACTCATTTTACACTTTTATTTATTTATTTATTTTACATCATTTAGCTTAACTTATCAGTGTACTGTTAATAAAGCTATTGTTTTACATCTTTCATCTTGCTTTTGTATCAAAATACAAAATGTTGCCCACTCCTCGTTTATAAGTGGCATCGACTCAGAACTTTAAGTTAATTATCATCATTGGTTTGATTCCTAAAAATAAAAATAAAAAAAATAAAAAAAATGAATAAAAGTGCAACTTCGAGTATGAACCATGGCTCACACATAGCATATTTTTTTTTTTTTTGGATGACTAGTGAAACCTATTGCCATTGATCGACAGTGTGCATTAGTAAACTCCACCCTTATGTAATAATTTACAAATCATACAAAAGAGATAAATCGTATTAAAAAAATTATGTGAGACAAACTCGATTGAGAGAGTATTGACAATGTCTTATTATTAGTATTATATTGTTGTTATTATTTAGCTCAAAACATAAATCAATCCAAATATGATAATATAATTGGTGTTGTATAGGGAATACCCAAATTACATAATAAATTATCAACATATATTTAATTATAAAAAAATTGTTACAATATGATAAATAAATAT